GTCTCAAAAAAAAAAAAAATTATCTTGTAAAAATTAAAAATATATATATGAATGAAGAGGCCATTAGACAGGGGTGTCTCTGGCACTTTAATTTCCTACCTTAAATAACAAAGAGTTAAATGAAACAAGAAAATGCACCAATCAGAAATCACCAACTGACCACTAACTAGAAATTTTCCATTCTAACCAATCAAAATCGTTTTCCTTGTCTTGCTTCTACAAATACTTTACAGATGTTTCCCTCTGATCCTTCATAGTAGAGTGCTAGCTCCTTATAGTTTGGGGCTACTCCAGTTCATGAATCACTGAACGCCCAACAAAAGTCTTTAAAATTTAGATGTGCTGAAGTTTGTCTTCTACTGGGGATTCGTTCCCTTTTAGCCATGTGGATACACTGCATTTTTTTAATCTGCATTAGCTGAAGGGCATTTGTGTTGTTTCTACTTTTGGAGATCATGAATCATCATGAATAATTGCTACCAATATTTGTGTACAGTTTGTTGTGTGGGCATATGTTTTCACTTCTCTTGGATATATTTCTAGGAGTGGAACTGCTGGGTCATGCGGTAACTCCATGTTTGACATTTGAGGAACTGCCAGACTGTCTTCCAAAGGGGCTATACCATCACATTTGCACCATCTCACATGTTCAAATGGTTGGAAAGAAATCAAAAGAAGAATATTTCATGACACATGAAAATTACATGACATTCACATTTGTCTATGAATAACGTTCTGCTGGAACCCAGCTCTGCCCACTCATATGTGCATTGTCTGCAGCTGCTAAATTGCAGGATTGAGCAGTTACAACAGAGACCGTGCAGCTGAAAATATTTACTATCTTGCCCTTCACAGAAAAAGCTTACCAATTCCTGCCCTAGACTCTGCTTTACCTCACTGTGATTCTCTCACTCTGAATACAGAAAAGATCCTACACATCTAATCAGACCTGACATAACTTTCATTAACAAACTCCTAATAACAGAAACTCTAATCTACTCACCTATTTTCTCAGTCATGGAGTTATACATAAACCAGCCAGCTAGACAGACCTCTTCCCCTCACCTGGCCCTTAAGGGGGTTTCCCTGCTGGCCTGTAAACTCCCTGAGCAGAGGGTTTCACCTGCAGGGATAAGGGTGTTTTTTATCGTTACATTATAATGCTCTCCAACAGGAAGGATGCTGAGGCTGCCAAGTTCTGTGTGCCCCCTCGGTCCCCCCCACACAGAGCTGGTGGTTAGAGGCAGTGGTGAAAGTTAG